TAGTATATTTATACACATATATACTCTCTCTCTCTCTCTCTCTCTCTCTCTCTCTCTCTCTCTCTCTCTCTCTCTCTCAATTGAACGTCGTGCATGAAGCTAGCATGCGATTGTTTATAAATTTTGTTAGACTTTGTTCAAATGAAGTCACTTGTAGAGCGTTTGATAAGTTAAATTCAAAAATTTAAACAAAAAAAAAGTTTTTATTACCAACTAATATAAATCAAGTTTGGGGGCTCAATCGAGCACCAAATAAAATAATCTATGGAAAAAAATATTATTATTTTTAATTATTTCCTCAATAGGATATTAATAAAACAGGCTTACGTTTAAGAAGGAAAATGAAAAATGGCTTATCTTTAAAAAATAAAAAGTAGCTCAGGAAATATATATCTCCATTTTACCGTGAATGAGAAATTATCTTTCTTCTTCATCCTCTTCCTTCTATATTGGATCAACTCAAAAGTTCACGATGATGGTGGTGATGGCAGTTTTTTTTATAGTGGTGAGATGAAGTGACTGATTCATTTGCGTTGGTGGTATTTGGGATGACGACGATGGTGATTGTCGGGGGTGATGGTAGGGATGGTGGGTTGATGTCATTGATCGGTTTGAATATAAATCACTTGTCATAGTGAGGTGTTATTTAGTTTTAAAGCAACTTTCCTACTAGAAAATAGGAAAAATCCTATTTTTGTGAGTGACGACTTGCACCGTTAGTAATATATAATCCCCTTTTTATGAAGGGTTTACAAGAAATTGCTTAATGAGTACGATTATACTCGTATGGCTATTATTTTTGCCTCTAAAGATGACTTCTCCCTTCAATTTTGGGAAGGTAATTTCTTGTGATTTTTCTCATGTATATGGATTTTGTTCTTCAATGAAATTGTCAAATTTTGTGCAAGTATTTATTATAGCGTATGGGCCGCTGCATCAGCTAGACTGACGGATCCAATAAACACAAATAACTGGGCCACGCCCTATGGCTTAGTAGTGAATTTTGACGCAAATTGCACAAGAGATGAGAGTGAATTTTGGGCCATGCTCCATGACCACACCGGTTGACACATCACACACACATGAAAGCTCGGTAATATTTTATTCGTGCAGGACCCACATTTCGACTGTGAGAGGTGTGTCAACCTTTGTGTCAAACATGTGGTTGAGTAGCATTTTTCGTGAATTTTCTGTATACCTAACATTTTGCTCTAGTTTTGATAGTTCAAGATCGAGATATTCTTTTTCTCATTTTTTAAAAAATAGATAAGACATATTCTTGAACATGAGTTTATTTATTAACTTCAATTTTTATTTTTATTCTGTTATATAGGTAAATATTCGACGAGTTTCTAAGATCACATCTTGTCCCTTGATTCATCATTCTAAATTGGAATCAAGAAACTTGACTTGAATCAACAAGATGAGTAACTAAAAATCGAACAAATCATACAACAACTTGTAAACTTAACTTCGGCGTGCTCTTCATAACAATTGTACTATCATATTTATTATTGTTTTTATCAAACTTTTCGAGTCGAATGGAACGAAATAAGCCAAAATTTTTGTCTCCATTCATTAGAGTTTCAATTAAAGGACAATAGTCTCAATTATATTCTTGATTAATTGGGGTGAATCATTAAATACATGAAACCTACTATTAACTTTTTCACCAATTAAATAGTGTGTCATGTCATCGGTACTTAATATAGGCTAAACACAAATTTGTTATATAAGGACAAATTTGTTATACTTCATTTTCCATTATCCGTCCTACATTGCGATAAAACATCTTGCTTACGTATCACTTTTGGAAACACTAATGAAGAAAAAGAGAACTTACTATTGATTCCATTAACTTCACGTGACACATACCTTGACAACGATTGATCCGAGTCACATGGCACAACCAGCCTTTTATTCAGATAAATCCAATTGGACCCGCCTGTCACACCGCGCCACTCACTCATTGAAACCAATTTGTGGTGAAATTTACAAATGTTGGATTGTTTATTGTTTTTTTTAATTTTAATAACCCAAAAATTGAGTTCCACTGAACCCAAAATAATAATTAAATTACCTTTATATATCTTTTAATAATTCTCTTTTAAGTGAAAAATTACTTTATGTTTGATATGAATTTAAGGAACGTTTGGTATGACTTTAAAGAAATTAAAAGAAGTTTTGAGATTCAAAATGTGTTTTTGGATTCGTTTGATTAATTTTACAAAAATACTTTGTTTTAGAAGAGTTTTTAAAGAAATTTGACACAATGTGACTTCGTCAAGGGAAGAGGAAGATCTTTTAGAAATAATTTTCAAACATCAATTAAATAACTTCTTTAAAAAATTCTTCTGAAAAAAACAGAAGTAAAAACAGAAGTATGCCAATAAATTCTTAACTCGTTTATTAACTTTCCAGACATACTCTAATGAATTTTGACAGTGAGACGGACTGGCACGCCTTTATCGTACCCTTCAACAAACTAGCATCGATTGTTAGGTAAACAAATCATAATCAAATGCGTGTTTACTATTATCATTTCTGAGTATCTTACCATTACAAGCAAACAAGAGCTCAGGAATGGAATTAAACTTTTCCTTATTTTGTTTTGATTCAACAAGCAACTTATTTATGCATTGAACTGTTTGTAGAAAAGGGCCCTCAAAATATTGGTTTAGAAGTTCAATTCTTTATCAATCAGGTGTCAACGGAGAGATTCTATATACAGATTCAAGAAAGGGAGAGCCCACTTTATTGTGATATTTGTCCGAGGAAAGATTTGGTAAAAAGTGGGAAAGAAGAGTTTGCGTTTGCTGCTTAAAAGGCCTTCTGGGAATATAAGTGGAAGGCTAAAAATGGATTTCTGGCCGGAGTTTCTAGCAAGCAGTTGGGGAAAAGAGTTCGTGGCCGGAGGACTTGGTGGCACTGCGGGTATCGTGACTGGTTATCCTCTTGATACACTTAGAATCCGGCAGCAGAACTCAAGAACCGGTTCCGCCTTTAGTATCCTCCGCCATGCTGTTGCCAGTGAGGGGCCGTGCGCCCTCTACCGGGGCATGGCCGCTCCTTTGGCCTCTGTCTTTTTCCAGGTTCTTGTTTCTATTTCACTTTCTAATATCAATCATTTTCTCAACTTGTTATCTCTGTTAACAGCAATTTCCATCTCCTCCTTGCTTAAGAATTTGCTTGATAGGAGCAATCTGAGATATTAAATATTTGGATTTATATGACATGATAGAGTTTCCAATGAATAAGATCAATTAGCTCCTAAATCATACTCGCTTTAATGCTTTATATCTCCTTAGCTGAGAATATATACGCAATTTATAGTGAAAATACTGGGAAGCAGTTTCTAAATTAGTTTATAAATTAAGTTTTTGAAGAAATTGAGGGAGAGAAGTGCCTAAGGTATTAAGAGGAGTAGGCCCTTATATGTTGGTCTATGTTTTCATCTTCACTCGAGGAGGGATTTACATAAGGGATGTCCCCTTGGGTGCACTACCAGAGGCCTAGGGGAGTTTTCCTTTCGGATAAAATCATGACAAATATGTTAGATAAGTTTGTACAGTTTCTAAAATCAACAGGAAATATAAGGCTTCTTCTATAGCTCGACTCTGTTAGACATAAATGAATATGAGCATCATGTGATTAGTAGAAAGCAAAGCTTTTCTTTGAGTATTAATAAATGCTCGAGTTATTATGAACAAGATGAAAACTACAATTGATCCGACGTCCAAGTGTGTGGAAGTACACTGGCTGCCAGAATAAAGTGTTCATGTTGCACGTCAAACATGGTGAAAATACTCGAGGGACTTTTGAGTATTAGACCTTAGCTCTTTGGAAAAACCTAGTTTTTACCATGTACACACCAGGAAAAACACTAGTACTCGAATAAACAGTCTACCCTGTTAAAAAAGACAAAATTCACAAGAGTTCTTGTTGCAGATAACATTTGTGTGTGTGTGTGTTTCCTGCTTCTGTCGTAAATATTTCAGTGCCATGAAGTAACCTATAAGCAGCTCCTTTCCGTACTACCTTTATTTAATAAACAGATGCTAAGAGTGTGCAGTGCAAGGAAGCACATTAAGAACCAGAAACATTTCGGCAGCGAGAATGAGTGTCTTAACTTTAATAGGTCCTCTAAAAAGGCTATGGAATTTGATGTCTGTTGAAGGTCCTCTTAGCTATTCTAGACAGGGAAAAGAACTGTTAACGCTGGAGGCCTCTAGAAAGGTCATATCATTGGCCTTCACAGGCTGTCACAGGCTCGAGTCCTAGAATAGTCCATTCTTTCAAAATCATAATCTACGAACCAAATGTTGAATATACTCAAAACGTACATAGAATAACATACTACTGAGTAAGAACATGGTCCTATTAGACAGACTCTAAATGCAGAGAAAGGGGAGACCTTAAAGCAAGTTATTGGCCAATTCCTGTTCATTAATTTTCATAGTAATGCATTATGGGCACGCTTTCTTCATAAATCTAAAAGTTGTTTGCTTGCTATTGCAGAATGCCATGGCCTTCCAGACTTATGCTATACTGTCACGAGCCTTTAGCACAAACAGTACAGGAGGAGATCCGCCCTCATACAAGGGAGTTGCTCTCGGAGGAATTGGAACAGGTGCTATACAAAGCCTACTTCTCAGCCCTGTTGAGCTGGTTAAAATTCGTCTACAGTTGCAGGGGAAAATTAATGAGAACAAAAATCAATCAGGCAGTGACAAAGGTCCAATACAAGTTGCAAGAAACATAATAAGAACAGAAGGCTGGAGAGGAATTTACCGGGGTTTAACCATCACTGTGCTTAGGGATGCACCAGCTCATGGCGTCTACTTCTGGACATATGAGTATGTGAGAGAGCAACTTCATCCTGGATGCCGAAAGAGTGGCAAGGAAACCTTCAGAACAATGCTTTTTGCAGGAGGTCTAGCAGGAGTTGCTAGTTGGATTTTTTGTTATCCTTTAGACGTAATGAAAACAAGAATTCAAGCCCAGAAAGAATCTTCCCCGACAAAATACGAAGGCATTGCTGACTGCTTCATAAGAAGTGTTAAAGAAGAGGGATATAGTGTGCTCTGGCGAGGTTTGGGAACTGCAGTTGCCAGAGCTTTCCTCGTGAATGGTGCGATCTTTACTGGCTACGAGACAGCTCTCAGGTGCATATTCCACAACAACAATCAAGCAGCTATTCAAACAGAGAATTCAATCTAAAGTGAAGGCCCATTCTAGTCTAAGAGCATCATCATGGTAACCACTATTGAATGGCAATTTCATTAAATCTAAGAGGGCAAGAAATTGCATGGCATTCTATTTATAAATTCACCGATAACAGAAAAACAGCGAAGCAAAATGAAAGCACCAGGAGAAACAGACCATATAAAGACAGATAATAGTTGTTGTCCTGCATTCAGTGGTGAAGCAATAAACTCCACTGAACCATGTATATCTTGAGCACAAAGGTTAGGATTCACGAATGGCCAATTGGCCATACACAGGCTATAGCAAACAATAGCAAATTGAACGAATGCATATTCACAGAAGTTTGATGCTTATAGCAAACTACACAGTTTATTTGTTCTATTTCCTTCAATACTGAAACAGGCTCATACAAACTAGCTCGCAAAAACAATTAGAAAAATAACAAAGAAGGCCCCCACGTGGAAAAACCAAGGATACATGTCGATGAAGTCCTCAATTCTTTTCAATGTATATAGACATTCAAAATGCATTATGGTAACTACAGCATCACGAAAGTATACCTAATGAAGTTGAAACCACTAGTTCACCTAAGGCTACCTATTTGACAATTATACCCTGATACACATTGCTTGTCGTTTTTCGACTCAGACAAACATAAAAGTGTCAGTACGAATTTTGGTTTGTATTCCTTTCCCCGTAAACGCAAAGACTATAGCAGGAAGGGACAATCACCTTAATTGTTCTACTTCATAGTTTCAATGTGGTAAAAGTAAGATATATTTGACAAGGTTCTCGTCAATCTATGCGTAAGCACCTCAAGCGCGAAAATAATCATCCCTGATTTCATTTATATCCAATCCAGCGGTCTCAGCCATGGCATTTTTCAATTCGCTACTCAACTTTTTCAACATCCGTGTATCATTATAATTCTGAACTGTTGGGAATCTATTTATACATGCACAGCGGAATTTAAAATAATTTTCGATTCCCACCAAGAATCGCCTTTGTGTCTAGATAGAAATTGTGATAAGATTGTACATTTTTCAGATTTGCAATCCTTTTGCTTTTCTTTTCGTTTCACAACCTTGATTCGCCACCACAGCTGTCCAATTGTCCAACCTCCAACGGTGATCCACACAGAGAATATGATTGCAGCCTCTAGGGTTTTTTTTCTTGTGCCAGCAAGAATAATGAAAACCCCATATGGACCTCAAACCCTAGTTATTTATTTATATAAACCCAAACAGGCTCGGCCCGGTCTAGTCCAATAATTAATTAATCCAATTAATTAAACCCGGTCCGTGAATTAATTAATCCAATTAATTAATTCGAAATTATAAATAACAAATCCAATTAATTAATTTATCCAACGATTGTTAAATTAACCAATTGAAAATTTGCAATAGGTTCCCGACCACGATGCCTAACGACGTGAAATATTATTTTGATCTAATCAAAATTGATAAATTAAAACACCCTTTTAATTTATCGTCAATTCGCATTCGCCGTCCCTGATTGACATCTAGCAATGTGTCAGGGCAATACATGTAACGGGAAATGTCACGTGGTATGACAAAACCAAATTCGTTCGTTTACCGTGAAACTATAATCCCTTCGTCAATATGATCCGATCAATTACGAGATATGAAATTGTGTCAATCTCGATCATCAATTATATCTTTCTCTCCACTATTAAGTCAATATAAATCGAAAACTCCTTTTCAACTTATGAGTACACCTTGACCAAGGATTTGATCATTGACTTAATTAAATGAAACGCAACTCATAATCTCCTACTATCTAAGAGTGACGAATCCTTTATTGATCAATCACAACCTTCATACGATTCTTGACGTACCCGAACGATGTCGTATTAGTGGCCCTTTTCAGAGCAACATCCAACACCGTCAAAGTATGACTGTCCTCATATAAGGTACCATGACGACCTCTAGTCAAAGGACCAATTTCACTACCGAATGTTAGAGATTAACCACCGACACTCAGATAGTTATCCATGTGGAATCTCTCGACGGGTCTTCAATGTTTTGTTCTATAACAAAACATCCACGTGTTCATTTAAGTGTCACCACACTTTAACTTGTACTTCACAAGTAAGAAATGCCACACGTGATGGTCTATCCATAATAACGATATCCGTATCTCGTTATTACTTACGACCACGGATGATTTAAGATTCAATCAGATGTAATTTGTATCTCACAATCACAACTCATTGTGATTAACAAATTATAAATATTTGAATCTACGGACTCTATTATTTATTTAATTGTTTATTAATTAAATAATAGATCTGCCATTTAATTGCATTAATTACATATAAAAGTATTTATGTCCAAAGTTGATTGGACCTAGGGCATAATACTTACAAACTCCCACTTGCACTAGATCCAATCACTTATGTATCGAATATCATAAGTCTACATGACGATCATGTTTATACTACGACAACTCTTTGTCAGTGGATCTGCAATATTATTAAATGTGGAAATTTTCTCTTCCCTTTGCGTCATTTCTATGTATTATCTCTCTGATGAGATTATACCGCTTTAATACATGTTTGGATCATTGATGAGACCTTAGTTCCTTTGCTTTCGCAATGGCTCTATTGTTATTACAATACTATTGTATGTGATCAACAATATCAGGAACCACTCCAAGTTCATTTATGAACATCATGATCCATATTGCAACTCTTTGCTACTTCTGAAGTATCCATGTATTAGGTTTCTACTATTGAATCAACGTTTGCTTCACGTTTGAAACCTTTCCAACATACCGCTTAAGAGTAAACCAGTTTCTCCTTATGAAATCTTCTCAAGATTTCATCGATGTAAATTGGGATGAGTTAAGCAATCTTCTAGATCTACCTCTATAGATCAAGTTGCTTATCCCATATCGTTTATAAATAAATCTTTTAACAACCATTATTTCAACGATTGAAATATAGGGATGTCGTTTTAGGAATACGAAAAATGCTCCCACTATCTTCTTGTAAACACACAATTCGTTTTCAAATTTGATAAAATCAAACACTTTGACTTTTCATCAAATCTAAGATTTCAGCTCCAAGAGACTTCTCTTAACCTATAGTCACGATATGTAACTGTTGCAAACAAAACCCGAATGGACTTAAGCAAGGCTACAGGAGAAATATTTCACCAAGGTCAACATTTAACCTTTGATTCTAGCATTGCTTTGTATATATGGATATTCATATCCATATTGACCTTTTCTTTTGTAAACTATTTACAAAAGCTTATAGGCTTTATTCCATTAGGAGGCTTGACCAAGGTCCAAACCTTGTTCACTTGTGTCGAGTTTTATCTCGAGTTTCATGGCCTCTTGCCGTCTCTTTTAAGTCAACACTTGACTTTATTTTGTTGCAACTAGCAGGTTCATTCTTCTGGATCACTGATTAATGATTCGAACCTTCTTGAAGGTCGATGAGCCTACTAGATTCACATAGAGCTGTCATGTCCTCAGGAGTCTTTACTTCCTAATCCAAAGTATGTCCCATATCAGATATGGGATCAAACTCTGATTTATCTACTTGGTTAACTATATCTGTGGACTTTTGAACTCTTTCAAAATTCTATATTACTCCCACTGTCCTCTCCTAGAGTAAACATTTTCTCTAAGAAGACGATATGTCGTGAGACGAAGACTTTCTTCATGACAATAGAATTTATATTCAATTGTCTCCTTTGAATATCTCACAAATATGTATTTATCGGATTTAGTCTCAAACTTATCCGATTTAAGGCGCTTCAAATAAGCGTCATGGCCCCAATCTTTCATATAAGATAAATTGGGACTATTGTCTTTCCATAACTCGTATGGAGTTCTGTTAACCAATTTAGATGGGACATAGTTTAATGTGTTGCACACTGCAATCAATGCGTGACCTCAAAACAATTTTGAGAAATTTGCATGACTTGTTATTAATCGCATTATATGTAATAATTAACGATTCCTCCTTTTAGATACACCATCTTGCTGCAGTGTATATGAAGGAGTCCACTGCACGAGAATCTCATTCTCTCTTAGATAATCTAAATTTTATCTTTAAGATACTCTCACTTGATCGAATCTTAATGTGAAGGTATCTTTACCTCTTTGTTTCTCTAATTCTAGTGTGAATCCCTTGAACTTTTCAAGAGTTTCATGTTTGAGTTTTCATCAAGTATATTTGATCATTGATGAAATAAGAGAAACATTACCTGACATTGATCGACATGAATCCATATGCATCACTATGCATTAGACCGGTAATTGTGCTGACCTTTCTTCTTTTCAAGCAAAAGAAGATTTGGTTATTGTGCCAGACATGCATAATTTGTACTTGTCAAAATGAATTAATCCCAAGTATACATCTTTATGTAACTTTGGAATTATATTTCATCTAAATGACAAAGTCTGTCATGCCAGATTTTGGTAATAATTAGATTATAATATTTATGCCTTATAATTTCTATACTTATTATAGAATCTTTA